TGATAAAGAACCAATTAATTCTTCTTTTAAATTTGTTGTTGAAATGTTTTTTTTGAAAAGCCGGGTTTTCAAGTTGTACCATTTGTATAGCTCGACAATTTTTTCGTATGCACTAAAAAACAACGAAATAAATGTTCCGAAAAAAGCATTCAAAAATCATAAAAATAGCATACTATGAGATATTGTATTCATGATCTTCATCATATTCAAGTGGTACTTGTGATTGTGCAGATATCTTTCTTTCAGGTAGGGGTGTCAGCGTTCCCCGTTCCTCAGCATTCCGTTCCTAGGAACGGGAACGCTTGTCAAAATCGCATTTCACGCTATATTTCAACATGGCGAGGTCTCTAGACATATTCACTTTTCTTTTTATGTTTGAGTATTCAGCGTTCCCCGTTCCTGAGAACGGGGAACGGGGTAGCGTTCCCCGTTTCCAGGAACGGGAACGGAGTAGCGTTCCCCGTTCCTAGGAACGGAATGCTGAGGAACGGGGCACGTTGACATCCCTGATTTTTATGAAATTGGCTTTCCTTCGGTGAATTAGTAAAATTTCTGTTAAAAGTGAAAGAAACGTATGTTGCGTTCCAGTTTCTAGGAACGGAACGTTGAGGAACGGGGTAGCGTTCCCCGTTCCTAGGAACGGAACGCAAAGTTGACACCCCTACTTTCAGAATCCTATAAAAGGATTTTTATTATTTGGGATACGATATGTGATTGATACTATATATTATGAAATAACATACGATGCAGAAGTAATGGCACAAAATGTCGACCCTTATATTTCTTTATAGATACGGTTCTAGAAGAAAATTTCCTATCAAATGATTAAAAAAAATTTCTTCCAGAGTCGTGTCTATAAAGAAATATAAGGGTCGACATATTTTATGCCATTATTTTTGCATCCTATGTTTCCTTTTTTTGACTTACTGCAAAATCAACAAAAAGTTCGTTTTGTGATCGAATCATCGAAACCTCGATTGTCGTAATGCCGTTCGTATATGTTAACTTCTCGGTATTGATTTGTTTAACATCTGTTTTGTTCAATTCAACGATCTGTTAAAACCAGTATGAAATTTTAATTAAAAAAAAATTTTCTTTACCATTTTATCTTTTGTTAAGTGATAATTGTTGTGTAGAAGATAATAATGGGTACTTATGAAGAGCACATCGAGAGTATTTTCCATCAAATGTCGATGATTCTTTATAAAGGTATTTAAATCACCCATTTATTATCTTAAAAAAGGAAATAGGCATCATCGATTTACACGAAGCGAAAAATAAAAGAAATGAATTATTCTTTTATTGAACTGACGAATGTATCTATGATCACAAGCCTATATACGTATATGGAGAAGATTTTCTTTTTTTTCTTCGACTCGATTTTTTCCTAACGTACGACATCACCGTCCGCTCATGCAAAGTAAAATGTGAAGAAAAGAAAATTAATGTTGTTGTCGACACAAATAACGAAGAAAATATAGACAAAATGATTATTCGAAGGTTTAGTCATTTGTAATGGTACTTTTGATCGAAAATAGTCCTTAGATAACGTTAAAGTTATCATAAGCTAACATAAAATGATGTTCTATAGGATTTAATAACAAGACATTAATTTAAATCGCGTGTCAAAGGTTATGTACTTCAAGAGATATTGCAAAGTGTCGACTCTATACATAAACGAAAAATTAACCCTTTATGCAATTAAACTTTGGTTTCTTGAAAAAGATTATAGCAGAAGTAAACCTCTAATCCCTTAAACTTTCAGTATCTCATTGCAAACACGACAACAGAATGATTGGAAGATTTGGAGAAGATAATAAAAATTACGTTTGATTGATGTAGTGCTCAGAATTCGTTCATGATGATACAAACTCTAGGAAAGTATTGAAATAGAATTTTTATTTAGATGATAATATCGATTTTATTATTAATGAAAGATGAGAAAAAGTTTGATTACATCATTGATATCAAACCCATTTTTAATTAGATAAACTTTATCATATTTGAATAAAATAGATCTTTTGAAATTAACATTTTGTTTCTAGTCTATTCATATAAGGTGAAAATTCCAGATCCTAATTTTAGATTAATAAAATTTCAATTTTTCAAACTTCGTTATATTCACATTAAGGGCTGCTATACTTCATTGTATGCGTATATATATGAAATAAAACTAAAAAAAAACCATTCGAGTGCTAATGATAATCATTTCAAATTTCCCTTGAATACAACAATCTTGTACTTGAGAACCTTTATACATAGAATTATTTCTTATAGAACTTCAAGACCAATTTTATTTTAAATTCTAATCTTGATTAAACCGTTCACAAAACAAGATGAAATATTTCCACAAAAAAAGATTTTGAGTTATGATATTTTTTTAATGAGATCGCTTTATTTGAGAGAAAAAAGTTATTTTAATGTTTCTAACATTACAAGTGAACATGCATGACGTTGAATAAAAAAAAAAGAGTTGATATGTAGAAATGAGTATTATATCTAGTAATAGCTAATTGATATTTGAAGAATTAATTTTCATTTTATGTCTTCATCTCTATCCGTCATGCACGGTCAACGCTTAAACTAGGTCATCATAAATACTGTTCTATGAATAGAGAAACAACAGGTGTCGATCATATTAAGAACTAGAGGCCCCTGTGAAGAGTTGAACTTTATGATTATAGGAAAAATTGATTTAATAAAAGGTTTGGATTAGTATTTGACTTATTAAATATAAAAAACTTACTAAAGTTGTAAACGCACAAAGTTAAACATATGGAATTCATGAAAAAATTTCACGATAAGCAACATTATCTGTTACAGTTACTCCATTATTCGTTTTGCCCTGTCTAGTAGTGTCTTTTACTTGAATTTTTAAACAATTCGATTCCGTTGATCTTGAACATCCTGTATACAACTGACCGTGAGAAAAGCAGGGTTCTGGAAGATAGAGGCCAACTTTATCAAAAGTTTGGCCTTGAGACTTATTTATTGTCATTGCATATGCAAGACGAACTGGAAACTGATGTCTAACGAAATTGAATGGAAGTGCTGGATCATTTAGTGTATCTAGAGAAATTCTAGGAATAAAATGAACAGTTCCAGCAAATGCATCAGTGATAATTTCCAATTGAAGCACGTTTTGACGAAAGGCTCTAACAATCATTCTAGTTCCATTGCATAATCCTTTGTTTACCGACAGATTTCTCAAAAGCATTACTATACAACCTACTTTTAAATTTAATTTATACGGTGGTAATCCAGATGGATTCAAAGTATTTAGAAATTCTACCAGAATATTGACTTGTAAATCATGATCTTCTACACCGTCATCGTTTTTTACAGAGTCAATCGCGTAAAAACTTATTTCTTCAACATTTTTTAAATTCATCAAGATGCGTTCATTAATTAATCGCACATCTTCGTTTCTTGGGCAAAGAATTGAGTGTCTTGAAAAGTTTTCAACATCAGCACAGGTAAAACTATCACCAAAAATATCGGTAACTATGTCATTAGATATAAAAGAAATTGGAACTTCAACTGAAAATTGGGTTTTAGGCGTTGGTGGTGAAGGTATCATCCCATCACCGATATCTAAAAGCCATTTACAAAAATCAGGATCTGTGATAGCTCGCATGTTGCGTTTTAATTTGAATGTTTGAAAAAGAGGCCAAACAGAAGATTTTTTGATTGTTGAATCAATAATAGCACATCGAGATCCTTTTCTAATAAATGGTAGAACTTGCCGGAAGTCACTCCCTAACACAACAACCTTTCCACCGAAAGGTATTTTAACACCGATCAAAGCTTGAAATATTAAATCAACTATTTCTAAAGCTGTGCCTGGTGCCATGGGAGCTTCATCCCAAATAAGCAAATCTATCGATTTCAAAAATTCTTTTTTAGCTTGAGTAAGTCTAGGAAATTTTACAGAAGAAAGATCTAAGGGTAAACTAAAGGCTGAATGGCATGTCATTCCACCTGGTAATAAAGTAGCTGCTATTCCTGTCCATGCAACAATTAATGTTTTTTTACCAATGAGATTAACTTTTTGAATTAGAGCACGATACAAAAACGTTTTCCCGCTTCCGCCGGGTCCGTCTAAATAAAAACATTTCTGTGAGTTCAAACCAAGTACTGAGTTTAAAATAGCATCTCCAGTCAAAAGTTGATCACTATTAAGATCATTCCATAATAAATTGTTACTATTAACAGTACAGTTAACTAAATTGTTTTCGTGATCTGAAATATCTTCGAAATTAGGAAACGGTAAAAGATGATAAAAATCTAAGCCATCCTGTTGAATTTGCGTTCGTATGTCATTAATGCATAATTTTAGCGATTTCTCTACGCTGTTTCCTCGATGAACAAAATCTTCAATCATATATTCTTTGAAATCTTCGAAAAGTTGCAATGGATTTGCTGGATTGCAATGGCAAATAATTGTAACTAATAATGATCGTAAAGATTTAGGCATCATATAACTTGATGCTTCCTGCATACAATTATGCCACTCATTCGAATCGTTAATTAAATCTCTAGCTCGCGCTACTTCTTTATATGTGGCATAGGTTTGTCCATTGAATTTTTTCAGATTTTCAAAAGATGTAGCGTCCGAACCTTTGACTGAGAGTAAAATCAAACGAAGATGATATAATTCCACATCTCTGGGAGATACAGAGATAATTCTACCTATCGCTTTTTCTCCGTGATGCGACGACTCTGCACGTTTAACCCATTTTTTATTTTTAAATACGTAATGATTAGGAATATCTTAGTATAAATATTGATGAGCACTCGAATCTGAAACATTTAAATCGAAATAAGCAGTTAAAGTCATGCATGCGACTGATTCTCGTCGCAAAGCACTTTCAGCTTCATTCTCTTGGAAAAAAATTGATTGGCCATCTTTCAAATGAATAGACAGCATGACGACACTATAAGATTGACCGTGAATAGGAAAATCTTGAAGATGCCAAGCTGCTTCTTGAGAACTAATATAACGACAATTTAAATATTGTTTGATTTCATCATAATCAACAACTCTTTCTACATTGTCGTTCGAATTTACTTGAATGCCGATTCGCGCACAGTCGTGACCTTTTGTAATATACTTATTAATATATTTGATAGCCTTAACAGTTGAACATAGTTCAACATTAATATGAGCATTATATTTAAGACTTAAAAATGAATTATATGGCACAACAAAACGATTATCTACTTGAATATTACTACGTGTGAAATGAGCTTCATGAGAATTGTTTCGGCGTCTATAAATTGGATAACCATCTGTAGATACATCAGTTTCAGAGCAGAAGGCTTTAGGAAAATTTTTGGAGCAAGATCCATCAATCATACAAATTGAGTTAGGATTTAATCGACCACATGGTCCATGAAAATTATGCGTTAAAATTACGTTATACAACTCGGGTTGTTCATGTCGATTCGGTAACTCAGCAGAGATAATATTATCAACGTCATCTGACGTTTTAATTTTGTCTTGATTAGACAGTGTGAATAAACAATGAGCATGACGAAGGCCGCGTTTTTGATGCTCTATAACGTACACGTATGCCAAAATTTCTCCAAAAATTTTTCTTTTAACTATATCATCTAAAAACTCTTTTAGTTTTAAACGAAATACTTGAGTTACTAAATCTGGTCGATCTGATGAATTTTGAAAAGATTGAAGTTCAGATTTTATTTCTTCCCATTTAGGATTACACGTAAAAGTAATAAACAAATCAGGGCGGCCAAATTTTCGAACCATTGCCATATTATCCTGATATAATTTGGACATAAAACGCGGACCGCCCACGAATGATGAAGGAAGAATAAATATATTACCAAATTGATTATTTCTGATATATGTCATTCGATTTGCTTCATAACGGGCATACACGTATACTAAATATTGTTGAAATAATTTTCCGCCATAGAACAAAGGATTGAAATGATTTCGGCGAATTCCAATTTTATTTGAATAAAATTCAAGTATCGTTACTTTATTTCGCTTTTCAGTGGCATGATCCATATTATGTGACAAATTTGTGGTCCATCCAAAATCACCATTTGGGAAGAAAAGTGGAAAAGTCATAGGATCGAGATGCTTAGAAAGCATGTTAATCCTTTTTAAAGTATTCGAGTCACTTGGCTGAACTGCAAAATCAAGTTGAGCCGGAATGTTACCATCACGGTCAGCTACATAAACAATAGCAACATCATCTAAAGTTCGAGGTGCATTATAGACTCTTTGGTCATCATGAACATTTCGAGTGAAAATTAAAGATATCTTTTTCATGGAAGAACCGGTAGTTTTCGCGTTAGAGACTTCTTTTTCATAAATTTCCCGAAGTTTCCGATAGCAACTGGCATAAAGAGATACTTCATTTAAAACTGTATTTATGGTAGTCATAATATCACGAAGACATTAGGCATTCGAATCTCAATAGAAGTGTCTGTATCGTAAACATATAATTCAACATACAACGACTGATTATTAAGCTTGTGAACTGAAATTGGATCTAGAGTAGTATCGATTTGGATATTTTCTGAAGTACGGTGGTACACTTCACCAGATATTTTAAAACAATATGGTCCATTTCCAGAAATGTCTACAACATTCGCGCCCATCGATGCGAAAGCGTTTGCGTTATTATACCCTCGAATAAACTCACGGAAGTTTTGACTTTTTGCATCAGTTCCTACAAAAAGATTTTTTAATGCAATGGGAAAATTTTCAGGTCCATTCTGAATCGAAAGATGAGATAATTTACCATTGTGACAGCACATACTTTTCAATTCATCTTTAAAATGAACCGCTTTACAGTGCTCGCATTCAATATTCAAAGGCCCAAGATCATGAGCAATTGAATAAAGAAAATTCAGAGACCCAAAAATAGCCGATTTAAAATGCCTTTCTGAAGTTCTTTGACGTCTGTTATAGATTCGGCCATTAATAGCTTCTCGATTTTCAGCATGATTTCTGCGTCTTTGTTCCAAAATTGTTTCACGATTTTCTGCATAATGTAATCTGTTTTGAGCTTTAATTTTTTTAGAATTTCTTTCACGATAGGTGCTCATATATTCTGTTCGTTTTTGTTGCTTATCCGCCATTTTGGAAATTAGAAAAAAAAATTTAGCGATAGTTCAGAATTACTCAATTTTATTACAGAAATTATAATATGTAATACTTGCTATTACTTTAATTAAATAAATGTAATTTCTTTTTTTTTCTTTTTTTAAATTCTATTTTCTATTTCTATTAATCTATTTACAATAAAGACCAAACTGTTGGTCGTAAATTAGTATGTAAATAAATAAACTATATGTACAGTAAAGAATAAACTGTTGATCGTCAGTGTATCAAATTTATAAATCAAAATATATAATAAGTTGAGGTTGTATAATAATGTATTATTTTTGCGCGTGTAGAAAAAGAAAATGTAGAAAAAAAAACAAAATATATATAGATATAATATAGATGACATGACATATATACAGTGAAACCTCTATATATGGGCACCTCTATAACAAGGGCATCTCGCTTATATGGGCACACGTCGGAACGACCGATCGATTTTTGCTGTAAATGAACCTCTCTAAGAAGGGCACCTCCAACCTCTGCCTATGGGCACTGACTTTTAGTCCATACTGTACTTTTACACCTCTCTTACATGGGCAGATATAATGAATATTTTCTTCAACATTGTTCTTTTGCTCGTCGTGCTTTATTGTTCGAAGAAAGAGAGAGAAAGAGAAAAGTTAGTCCGATGTAAAAAAAGAAAATTACTCGTCGATACATTTTTCACTATTCTATCAATGAGAACAAGAGTATAAATTGTCATGTTATTTGACATTACTCTTCAATATCATTAATAAATGACGATATATCATTAGCTCACGCTCGATGAGAAGATCACATTGATCAACGACTATGCTGATGGCACTGGACTATCGCAACGCAAATTATGTGGGTAGTACAAGGTGTCAAAGGGTACTGTATATAATATTCTTCAATGAAAAGATGAATACAAGTACGATTTCTAATCAAATGCAAACACGTCAACCACAACTTCACCAACTCGTCACTGATTTAGAATCGAAACTGACTGATGTTTACATTGATCCAAAAACTAGCAAGCAAAGTTCTACTATGAATTTCTTTCCAAAAGCTTGATTGTGAATACTAAAATAGAAAATAAACTTAGATCAAATACGATATCAAAAAATTTAGAATAAAATATTGGATACACTCAAAGATATAAAGGTCACTTAATAATACATAAGTATAGGTGCCCTTTATGGTGTAGCTGACGGAAACATTACTGATCGATATCTATACACAAAACTCTATAACGCGGGCACCTCCGTAAGGTGGGCGATTTCAAATAGTCCCGAAGGTGCCCATCTATGGGAGGTTTTACTGTATTTACATCAGTGGTTGAATGAACACATCACATGGAAGAAAGAAGGAGAGATGAACATGGTGGAAAATAGACAACAAAGTTCATTGCTTGACTGTGCGAAAGTGTAAGAGATGAAAAGAAATGGCTAAACATGATTTAGTCATCTGAACTGGAGAAGATCACCTTATCTTTTGCCGATTGAATCTTACTTTATTCCTGTTTTTATAAGAAGGTTGCATTTCTATTTGACATGATTTTATTCTCTTCTTTTCTTTTCTTTTATTTTTAATTTTTAATTGGATTTAATTCAATTTGATATTACTAATTTCTTTAAATTGAAAAATTTTTGTGACGTTTCGTATCTCAATGAGATACTTCATCAGACATTAAAATTAAGACAAATGGCATATAAATAAATACAATAAGAACAAATAAACAATTTTCTTTTTCTTTCCTTTAATATTAGTCATACTTTTGACAGTGATACGGAAAAAGATTCAATCCCTATCTAGCTATTACTATTACCATATTAGTTTTCCGTATCACTATCAACGGTATGACTAATATTAAAGGAAAGAAAAAGAAATTTGTTTATTTATTCTTATTGTATTTATTTACATTTCGTTTGTCTTAATTTCAATGTCTGATGAAGGATCTCATTGAGATACGAGACGCCACAAAAATTTTTCAATTTAAATAAACTAGTGATATTCAATTGAATTAAATTAAAAATTAAAAAGAAAAGAAAAGAATGAAACTATGTCAAATACTCTTACTTTATGTGTGGCAATTGTTTGCTGCTAATAACATTCTCTTGTTGTTGCGATGCCTGTGAGTTAACGAAACTGGGTGATTTGAATTCAGGACTGACAGATGATAAACTTCGGTTTTGTTTCGATGACCAAATACTCAGTTGTGATGTCCTATTGGATACGGATTCTTGATTTGATGATGATATTGATGTAGAGTGGCCAAGACTTGCATTAAACAATCGACTAGACTTCTGTGCCTCGTATCTTTCTTGTAGAAAACTAATGTTTCTATACGGGCTGAAATGCTAAAGATTCAATACCAACATTAGTACAAGCATCAATACTGTGAGCAAACTTACCATTACACTCATGGTGTTTGTTCTTTTGATAATAAAATAAAAGAATAATGTATGATAGTGGCAGAACAAAGAATTTCAATTTGATTATAAATGCAATCTGACGAAAGGTGAAAAAATTTGCAAGCCTTCATCATCAAACTTTTAATTATTATTATTAAAAAAAAACAAGCTCCGAAAATGTATGCGCGTGTAATATGCCTTTGATAAGATTGAATGTAAAAAGGCTGAAGGAAAAAATATCGAAAATTTCAAGATATCGTCATGAAACCATATTGATTTCTTTCTTATATTGTTCACTAAAGCTACATTGATTAGGTAACACTTTTCTCCAATACACCATCGTACAAACCGATATTCTAGAATAACGAAAACGAAAGAAATTGTATGCAAACAGAGAACATAATTATAGGTGCGGGGTATAGGAGTGGGTGTGAGTGTGGATGTGGAGGATGAGTGTGGGTGTCTCTTCACACACAACTATCATCACCCATACCCGCACTCTGATACAGTGTATTCGTATCGATACGTTCGACATTTTTTTTTGCGACATTTATTTTTCGATATTCTTTGCGTCGATATTTTTTTCTTCGGCTTTTTTAACACATACCTTTGATAATTAGTATTTCAATATCATATTATTTTGAAACCAAGCTGCATTCTAACGGGTGCCACATAAAGAATGAGCTCTCAAAATTGTGCACTTATTTGGGTTGCGATTCAATCAGTCAGAGCAAATATTTATTCCGAGATACATGATTTTATTCTCTTTGCAAGTTCACACTCTTATTAATTCAAATAGTGTTTTTCTTGGTGAGAAAAAAGTACAATCAATTGACAGAAGAGGCACAAGCTTCAAAACAGAGGTCCAAACAGGCCATTGGGCCTGCCTGCCTGCCTGGGCCAGGCACAGGCCGTGATTTCTATGCCTGTCACAGGCCAGGCAGGCTACTTAAAATAGATAGGCCGCCTGCCTGTCTTGCTTTTTAAGATTTTCAACAGAAAATTTTATTTTTTGAGCAGGAAATGTAGTTGTGAAAATATAAAGTAAAAGTATCTTTGATAAGACAGTAACAAAAATGAACTTTTATCATTCAATTTGAGTACAACCATGACTACTAATATACTATAAGAAATTATTTATTGGTCATTGATTTATGGAATTCCTCTTTTCGTTTAGCTAAACCACTGTACACGCATTAAAATCGTTTGCTACGGTTATTTTATGTAAACTATTCACTAATTCTTATGATTTTCTTTTTTATGTCTATATCGACTTATATTTAATTGAGCAATAATTAAATTTGGCAATAAAGTAATTTAAATGAGCAATAATTAAACTTAGCAATAATTATACTGAATGAGTGATAATTTATTGACATTAAAGGTAAAATTTATATAAGGTAAATTTTATATAAAAGGAGCACTATAGGTTCATTTGTTTATACAAATTGTTAGATGATAATTTATTCATCTCTAGTCGGTTGCTCCGTATATCTACGCTCTTGCCGTTTTTTCCTGTTATTCGGTATTTTCATTTTGGTTCATTACTGACTCATATACGTTTCGATTTTTTCTTTCTTATACACAACATATGTTTCGTCTTCTTCCTTGACAAGTATTTTTTTTCGTTACGTACCACTTTTCATATGTATTATATCTGATGGGATTTTCTCGACCGTTTTACCTCGATCGTCCAATGGATAGATACTTTCTAAAGATGGCTAATGATCCACCAGGTCAAAAAATTGAAAACCTCTACCAGAGGAAAAAAAATCTGGAATT